CCAACTATTACTGCTATTTGAAAATTTTTACTAAAAGAAAATTCTTCAATTTTCACACTGCCATATTTGGCACTATTTCATAAAGGCTAACTGTATCTTGGTAAAAGTGAAAAGTGTGATTTCCATTTTTAATTCCACCCTAATAAATAAATAAATGTTGCCCAAATATGTTCATTTTATCTTATGGTGCAACTATTAAGAAGAGGCCATTTTATGGAATGAAATTTTGAAAAACCTTCAAAAAATCACAAAGCAACATGTAGAAGGTCAAGTTCAATCACATTTCAATTGCTGCTACATGCATAATGACCTCAAAATAACAATGAAAATTAAATTCAGTTTAAAAATGAATGATTTGTTTATAAATGTGATCATGACCTTTTGAGGGAAAAATGCTCAGAACAGGCGCATACGCATTTTCATGTCTTAACATATTATGATAATACTTTCGTAAATATAAATAATTTATTTATGGGTTACTATTATTTTTCATTTAGGTATTTCTTTAGCTATATGTAAATGAAGCGGTCCGTCGCGTGCTTCTGCATAATTTACATCTTTCTCAAAGTCATTCTCTACGAGAGAATGTGTCCGGTCAAACGGTATATATGCTTTCCGGAGTTTTCAGCAGTTACAAGTAGTAAAGTGGAGAGTGAAGGGCAGACAATTGCAAAGCGAAACGAGTTTTCAGCAGTAACAAGTAGTAAAGTGGAGAGTGAAGGGCAGACAATTGCAAAGCGAAACGAATTTGGGTGAGGGCGAAGACTATCGGTACAGAACTGAACAATATAGTGATATTAGTCACCTTAGCGCTGTTACGCATCCGAGTGATTTAAAACTGAGAACCCCCCCCGCTCCCCCGAAATTGTTTTTCTTTATTCTTTGTAAGTACTTGAAGTTTTGTTTTTGTGTTAAATGCATATGTACCGATATCGCTTTAAAAATCGTATTTCAAACCCTCTTCTGTTTCCATTGGAGCTCTTTGTAAATCTTGGGTCAGACATTTAATATAAAAGGGCTTTTTGCTTTAAAAAGTTGCCGACCTCTGATCTCTACTTAGTTTTATGACTAATTAATGTGTAATATTTAGCAGGTCAACGTGCTTATCTGTTGTTGGGCTTGTGTTTTTCTTAAATGATGAAGGGTTTCTGATGACCTTTGCACAATCTTTGTTGTTATTTATTTTTGGTAATTGATTTCCAATAATAAATACATACATTTGCATAAGAATACATTTGCATCGAATATTGATAAGAAAATCAACACCTGAAAAATCCCTTAATAGTAAATGTTGAATAAATTTATGATTTAATTTGCGATTAATTTGTGATTAACTATGGACAGTTGTGCGATTAAATATTTTAATCTATTGACAGCCCTAGTATGGATAGATAAGGAAACAGCAGGGACAGATCCAATCAGTGGTGGCTGGTGGTCTTTCAAACAGGGGAAGCTGGCTAGTCTCCCCCCATGACCTAGTTTGAAATGAGCAAATTAACTTTACTAGCCTACTAATAAACCTTACTAAAGAAACAAGGAGCAAACTCAATTACACTACATTTATGTTTTTATTTACAGTAGAAAATATACAAATTCAAATTGAAAAAAATGAAAGGAATGAACTTGCCTAATATTGGCATGGGACTGAACTTGAAATATTCTGATGCCAAGGTATAATTTCAAAAATGCTGTCAATCAAAAAGAGGTGTAACCCCTTTGACAGTTCCTCCAATCATCATGCAGCAGCCCAGCTTCCTGGCCCGCCCACTGCCCCATTCACATTTTGAAGCATTCATACAATAAACATTTAGCTTTGCTGCACTAAAATCAAAGCATATTCTGAAGCCCCATTTACTCCCAGAGACACTGGGCTTCCCTAAAAATGATGTTTTGAAGCATTGGTCCAATCAACATCTAGCTTTGCTGCATTGAAAATAGAAGTGCCATTGAAGTCCAGAGAAACTGCACTTCAATAGGTTTCATTGGATCGTGCTACCATGGGAATGCAATACGTGAGAAAAAAAGTCATGTTAGACGACCTGCAAGAAATTATTGCTAATTCTGAAGGAACTAGCCAAGAAGTTGAACATGTTCTAACATGCTCTTTGTAATACCAATGTAAATACAACTGGACATATTTGACAAAAAAATTTTTTGACATTTTTGTGAGTAGGCGAAGCTTCCCTCGTAGTCTTAGAGCAGTCACCACTGGATGTAATGTGTCAGTCCAAGCAAGCTCCAGGACAGAGGATGAAAGAGAGAGAGAAATTGTGAGCTGCATCCAGGAGTTACAGGGAGAGAAAAAAGGCCAGAGTTTTTAGATGGACCAGCCCAGGCTGGGTGAGGGTCCAAGATGCCTGAGGTTAGTCCTCAGAGGTCGACATCAGCCCTCTTTTTATGAAATGCATTACACTTCACTGTTAGATTTTATTATGTATACTGCAGTTGTTATGAAATACTTCTGCTGTTTAAGTATTCTCTCTGATCTGTTAAAGTCTATAAAATGTTTCTTGTGTAAATTTATTTGGACCTGACTGATATTCAGAACTAATGACTAGAAAGTTATTTTACATTGTTTTTTATTTTTTTATTATTTCAGTTTTTGACCTGCACTATATGGACAAAAGTATTGGGACACCTGGCCATTATCCCCACAGGAACTTTTAACACATCCCATTCTAAATCCATAGGCATCAATGTGCAGTTGCCCCCCCCCCCCTGTGCAGCTATAACAGCTGCCACTCTTCTGGGAAGGCTTTCCACAAGATTTTGTGTGTCTGTGAGAATTGAATTTTTGCCCTTTCATCCAGAAGAGCATATGTGAGGTCAGTCAATGATGTTGTACATGAAGGTGTGGCTCACAATCTCCATTGTAGTTCATCCGAAAGGTGTTTGATGGGGTTGAGATCAGGGATCTGTATGGGCCAATCAAGTTCTTCCACACCAAATTTACCCAACCATATCTTTATAGACCTTTCTTTGAAAACTGGGGTACAGTCATACTGGAACAGAAAAGGGCCTTCCCCAAACTGTTCCCACTATGTTGGAAGCATAGAATTGTCCAAATGACTTGGTACGCATATCAAGACATTTTGGTCATTTTCTATGCTTTCAACTTTGTCCATAGAGTGTATCTGAAATTCTATAGAAATTTATTTGAACAGTCCAGGTCTACTAAAAAGCCATTTCTAATCTGGTGCCACAAAGTACAGTAAATTCTTCCTGTAACATGCATAAATTATTACCCAAAATGCAGAAATATTTTAGCCATACCAAAGTCCTCCTTTGAAGTGTACCTGAAAGAACAGTTTCACATATCTGCACCGAATCTTAAAGACACTACACAGGTAACAGGCCACTGATTACAAAGTCTGCTACAGCAGCATTTTGTGAATGAATGGCATACCTTAGGATAGCATTACCTCACCATCCGATCACAGGGCTGGCTTGATTAAAGAGCCATTTCTTAGCTTATCTCATTTTATCTTTCAGCTTTCTTAGCCCAAACTGTAAATCATTCTTTTAGAAGCGTCACTGAGATAGTAATATTTAACTTCATCGCCTAATAACCACAGCCTGAATCACACTTATAGTATAATGTCAGTAAGTGCAATGAAAAGGTCTTTAAAGCCTTTTAATTTAAAGAGGGATCTTATAGCAACCTAGTCAAGTACTTCCACCAAGGAAAGCAGCGCCTTTTGAATAAAGGGCCTTTTTAAACATAGCAGAGAAACACATTACAGCTAATGCAATCCTATTCTCAGCACAGGAAGACAGAGCCATTTAGAGACCTGTGAGGTCCAGGGCCTGCTTGGATGAAGCGGACATCATGGTCCAGTGCCTGCTGGGCCATCGTCGAGGGCCTGTAGCTGAGCTCTTGGTAAGACCTCTCAGCCCAAGCAGGAGAAGGGTAACGAATTAGAGAGAGAGCGGGAGCAAACGCAAAGAGGCTCCATTGCGGATTTTGCAGGACCCACAGAAAGCAGAGTCTTGTTTACCTTTGATATCTGTCTCTACCTCTAGATTTTTAGATCTGGTCTGGTAGTTTCCTTAAAGGGCCAGGTCGTCATTTTTCCAAGTCTCTCACAATGCTTTCTCCCATACTGTGTGGCAAAAGGCTGGCAGAGCACTGTACTGTATCGAGCAAAGTGAATAATGTGGTTTAATTGGCAGCTTTGCCTGAATAAGGATTCTACAGAGAAGTACTGCGTTTTACCACAAATATTGTTTTTCCTAACTTAATATTTAACAATATCAATGCAGCATATTACAAGAATTAACTTCATTTCGAGACCAATAGAATTCAAATTAAAACTCTGTCCTTCTTCCTACCTATTCCTGTATATTACATATATTACATGTACCCACTATAATTCCCACCTATTTATAATTAACAACAAAATTTTAACAATAGTTCAATTTAAATGGTAGTAGCCATTTAAAGTTCCTACTATAATCAATCACATCTTGAAAGCAACAGTGAAATTGCGATTTTTATATACTTCAGATACAAAAGGTGTAAGGAACTCTATGTACTGATGTACAAAAGACAAATGAAGAATCTTGAATCGTTTACACAGTATCAACATGATCTTCCATGCTAAACAGTCATGTAGCTTATTTATAATTATGGAAGACTTAACTTTTTTCTTTCATAATGCAAATCCCCTGACCACTGAATTTGTATGGTGGTGCAATGAACACTATGAATGTTGGCATATAGAGGCACATTAACATGCCCCTGGGCTATTTGAGAAGTCAGAGCCCTCACCCCCCCACTACTATCTGTAGTTAATTGTTTTTTTAATAAGGTTAGCTGAGGTCCCTTTTTAGTGAAGGCCCCTGGGCTCCAGCCCGGGTAGCCCCGTGCATAAAAACTTTTTACTAATATATGTACTAGACAATATCTGGAAAGTGTAAAGGAGTGAGACGCTGAGGGACAGCGGGTGGCTTTGCCAAGGCTTTTATCAGTGTAACCTTGGCCAATACCGCTGGCTTACCTGGCTCTCCATGGTGTCTCCTGGCACCACTTTCAGCACCTCCACATCCATAGCGCCCCAGATGCTCCTCTCCACCATCTTCCCAGCGTCCCCAGTAGGTGCCTGATCTGGCTCTTCTTCCACAGGGGCCATTTCTTCTCCCATGGACTTAATCCCGGCGATTTGCTTGGCCTCCTCCAGCAAATGAGCTGCGGACTTCATGCTCCAGGTGTTTGTGGGAGTCCTGCTGGCCTTTCTGTTCATGGGCTCCAGTCTGAACGCTGACGCCGGCCCACGGAGCACCTGGCGTTTCCATTGACCCTTCCCTGCGTTTTGGCAAACTTCCCTACCTGCCGGCCATGTCTCCCAGTAAGGGTGCATATGAGGTTGTTCTTGCCTGGAAATGGGCGCTTGTTGGGTAGAGGTGTGTGGCTTAAATACAGACATCCCACTTCTTAGAGCTGGCTTCGCTGACCTGGGTTTTGGAAGAGCCTTTGGACTGTGTGACTTTTTTGCTGTTTTGGCGCTGTCTGCCGTGTGAGCTATGCCTGGCTTCAGAGCGGCTTTCTGTGGTGAAGACACACTCCTGTTCCTCCAGCTCTCTGCCACTTTGTAGCTGCTCTTTTCCCATAATTCTTTTGGGCTTCCTATCTCCCCTTGGCTCAGTCCAGCTGGTCTAATGGGCACAGCTTGCCGGTGCTTGTTCTTAAGGTGAGAGCTGGATACAGTCGGGGGCTCATCATCTGAGATAAATTCAGCTGGAACCTCCATGGCTAAGCTGTCTGCCACACAGGATCTCTCTGCAAGGTGATACATTACTCTAACATTACTCTTCACTCAGGTGCCCTGCTCCAGTTCAATCACAGTCCCAATTTGGAGTATTTTAAAGGCTTATTGGTTGCAGATACCACCAGCACTCTACCAACCTTTCCAAATGGTACAATTTTCCACATACAGTACTGACTGCCATAGCTAGTTCAAGCACATTCTCCATAATATTAATGTTTATTAAGCTTATACTATATACACACTTGAACAAACCCACATAAATGTCACAGACACATAAAAAGTAACAATATATTTGTTCATGTCCATGATTGTGGTGACAAATTAATTTTAAATATTAATAATTTCATACCCATGCATCAATTTAAAACAATTCCCTATACATCCAAGATCGCTGTCATCCGGGCAGTATGTCACAGGTAACGCTAACTCCCCACCCCACACAAACATAAGGACCCGGTCGGCTTTAAATCCACAAATGGAGGAACCCGTCCTGCTTTCTTCCAGTTGAATTTATCATTTAATTCTAGCCAACATAAATACTTTTAATGCTGTTGCCTTTATTAAACTTTAAGAGCTTACTCGGGGCATTCTGTTCTTTTTATTATTATTCTTAAGAATTTTAGTTTTTTATGTATTATAGGCCTACTAAAAATTCATAATTATTGTTTACATTGCATAAATAGGCCTACACGCAAACGAATATACAATAGCAAGTAACAAATACACACTGTGATTACGCAAGTATGTCTTATGCAGGATTATTGGGATGCAATTATATTATAAATTATACTATTAGCTTCCTTATACTATGTAATAGTATGAACCGTGAGTATTTATATTAACTTTAACGTTGTTCTTCTGGCCGTTAACAAGGCGGTGTAGCAGCAAATTTCCGAAGCGAACGGAAAACACACATGCCTGTCTACGCCTGCATGCTTTTAGCTGCTCCATTCGAGTGCAGCACCTGCCAACAAGATTTAAAAGAGGTTCACATTTAGTTAAGATAGAAATATTAATAATAACAATAATAATAGCCTAATAAAAACATGCCGGTCCCCGCCTGCGAAATTATAGGGACTTTCAGTAGCTATTGATTTTCGTCATATGACCAAAAGCGCTTCGCTAAATTATAACAGCAGTTGAGGGGTAATTTAAAATTCTGAAATTTAAATTATAGGTACGATCCTAAAGCTACGGTTGTGCTTGTTTTCTGGCCATCCAGCTATTGTAAAATGTCTCCTGGTTACCCGATTACAGAAATAACAACGGCATATGACTAATACCGCTTATCTTACCATATCTGTATTTTCTTTATATAACCCACTGCCGTATTCTGAGCGGATTGATTAACTAACTATAGCTACGGGTTTCACGCTATAGCTCTATGTATAGCTGGTTAGCGAGTAAAGCAAACGCCGTGGCCTTGGCTTGGTATTTTCATCTTACCTTTATGCAACAGCTGGCGAGTAATAAGTCCCTCATAAGTTTGCTTCGTTTTTTTTTTTTTTGTTTATATTTCATTTACATGCTCAAATACAGACGCCTTTGTGAGATTTCTCTGTCTGATCTTAAGTTTTCAATTTGCTTGTCCTCTTCAGGGCTTTGAAATCACTGAGGGCTAGTAAATGCCGAAGGTCTCCTAGCAACCAGTCAACTGCTCGGAACCACGTGGAAAGGTTAACATTCTTTGACTGAGTGAATCCTAGTACACCGAGAAGGATGGAAAAACAAGAAGCCCGCGTTAATGTTGATGTGTTTTAAATTACCTATGCATGCACAGACGGAGAGAAGCACGCGTGTTGCGAATACGGTGTGTGTGCCATTATATTGGCGATCATAACGCTTTTCAACAGAACGATAATAACAAATTAAGTTTGTGAGCCGACCAATACATTAAGGAATGGCCATAATAGATTGGATCAGATAAGTAAAAAAGTAAATAGGTCTGTAGTCGAGTCAAGTAACAGGAGTCAAGCACAGGCGTTTGTGATGGTAATGTCAAACAATAAACAACCATACAAAGCAATATCAGACATAGGCCTTGAAGGATTCCCTGTCCGAGGTACTGAAAATGTACCCAGGGAATTCTATAAAATGCCTCAAGCACAATATTGCTGAAACGACCAGAATAGGCCTATCCAGTTCATGTTAAAGCGAACTTGCATGCAGATTATTGCAGACCATTGTGGCTGTACATTTATTTCAAAATAATATATCTAGGAGACTGAACTTCTGCCTATTCGTCAGTCGAAAAAAATACACACAGAGATTGCACCTCAGATTGTGCTTAAATGCATAATTTGCTGTATAATAAAAGAATCGTTGTGCATATGTCATGTAAAATATACCATATATATATATATATATATATATATACATAGCTTGCGAAACTGGGGGAAACGGATTGACACTATCCTACTCTGCTCAACATACTATCATGACGTCACATAATATAACCAGAGTTTCTATAGTTAGTCCGATCAGGGGACAGATTAACTGATGGAAGAAATAATATTATCTTCGAAAAGTAAAAAAGGCAGAGAAGTTTTGTTGTGTAAAAAAAATAACAGCCTCCAATATATAATTGTGCATTTCTCTATATTTTCAAAAAGATTTTTATATTATGGCCAACAGTGTTTATTTGATTTGTCCTTATAGCCTATTCGTAATTTTTGCATTTGTCACGTAATTCGTACGTTTCTGATATTTTTATACTAGTAATCTTTACAAGTTCTCATTTTGTTGTAATACGCATGCATTTCTCATTATTTACTCTACTGCGGAAATTACATTTTATTTGGTAGCTACTAATGATCTGAATGGATCTGAAATATGTTGGGAATGTTCTAGACAAAACCTGACACACCACATTAAAAGACGTGTCAAACCTTGCATGTGGAGTACTGTAAACATGTGAACCATTCATCCAGACTCGTCGTGTAGTCAGAGTAGCCTAATTTGAACTGTGAACGGTTGATTTTTACATGATAGTGCTGAAGTCAACACATGGTCTTGCATTTTAAATTATAACCTTAATCACAGGTGATGTTAGGGGTAAAATGAAATGCTGTTCCTTTTTTAGACATTTTTATGTGTAGATATACACCCTAAAGGTCTTGTATTGAACATCCTTTTGGAAGCGGATGAATGTATGAATTTTACACGTGCATTATGACCTCATTGCAAGTGACATTACATCACAACAAAAGACGTCTTTGCGTCGTAATACGAATGTGCGCACTAAAACATGATCGTCTTGGTCAAATAAAAATAATGAAAACCCTATGCATTTTAAACCGCCTTGTACTTCAGAAGCGCATTGTCTTCGCATAGTGGCAATTTAATCTGCTCTGTGCAAATCGATTAGCTTTCGCTAATGCTGTTTGAAATCACTCTGGGATAATCCTATGTAGGGCGATAATTGCCCGTGTAATTCGGTCATAAATTGATTAACAGTAGAAGGTGACACCGTGATCTGTGTTTTAACAGCGAGCCGCAGGCGTGAGAGAGGAGCGCGAAGGTCGCTAACGTGAAGCTGCCGCGAGACTTCAGTTTGCGAAGCCGTAAAACCTTGTCCCAGGACTTCGGGAAACACGAAATATCTTTAAAAAGTATAAACAAATATTATGGGCATGACATATCATATTTAATCCTATAATAACATCACAGACAAAATAGAACGTATTAAACAAATACTTATTCATCCGTAAATTATCATGTATATCAAAGGTATTTATGATTTTTTAAAACATGTTTCAAATGTAGGCCTACTAGTAAACTGGGAATGTTCTTTTATCAATATTGTGCAGTTATTTTTTCAGATTTGAATTGAGGTTTTGTAATTATGTACGTGAGGAAGCTGTTATGGCGTAACTTATTGTTTTGTTGTTTTAGTTAAAAGGACATCTTGAATATTAACAACTTAATGTGCAATAGTTCAAAGCGGGAGAGAGGGGTTCTCAAAAAGAGTTCTTAAAAATGTCTTGAGAGCATTCCATATATTTTAAGTCGCATTAATGCCTAATACGAGGCAGTAGCCCTGGGAGGCGCTATTGTAAGTATTTTTGAAATCGTACAAGATACCAATGTAAAACTATTGTTTTTAATTATTTTGCGATTCCTTATGCTTTAAAGACATAGCCTATACACACCACATGTGCTGAAAGAAACTATTATTTATATTTCTTAGAGTATTTTTACATTTATTATTTCTATACTTTTTTGTTTATTATTTAGTTACTGAAAATATGGAATACAGCATCGTAATACGGATGCGTAGTTATTGATTTATGTACTCTAAATTAAATTCCATTTAATTTTCTAAGGGATTTATCTGTATATTATTCTAACGTGTTCGTCAGTATTTGATATGCAGGCTGTTGCGAGATTATAGGCTATTCATATTTCTGCGTAATAACTTTAATAAGTGACTCAAGAAATATCGCTTCCCAAAATGTATTTAAAATGTTCCCTCTTTTTGGCCTAAAATAATAATAATAATCAGAAATAGTAGAAAATTAGAAAATAAATTAACACCATGATAGATAGTGAAGTTGGAAAAAATTACAAAGAATTATAAAGAAAAGTTTCCCTTCCGTTTCATTTTAATTACAAGGCAGTTAATTTAAGTTATAGCCTGCGTCTTTATCTACTTTTCATATATATATTGAAGCTACATCCATGGTAAGTGACACCCAGATGCCCGTGTGTCTACCCCCCCCCC